GGGGGGCCAGCAGGGGGTCTGAGCCCAGCATGGGGGGAGAAGGGCTCTCTCGGGGGATGGGCGAGGCTGGGGGGCAGCAGGGGGTCTGAGCCCAGCCCGGCCTCTCCCCGCAGACAGCGCTGCACTGGGCGGCCAAGCACGGCAAGGAGGACTTGGCCTCGCTGCTGGTGGCTGCAGGAGCCGATGTGAACACGCGCTCGGTGAGTTCCCGGCGGGCGAGGGGAGGCGGGCGGGCGGGGGGCTCGGGGCCCTGTCCAGCCCCAGGCAGCAGGTCCCAGCAGGGGCTCTGCCAGCCCCAGGCCCATGGCCTCCCACCTCCCTGAGTGGGGCCCGGAGGGTGGGGTCCCCGGCCTGGGGAGCTGAGTGCCGAGTGGGGCAGAGCCCCGGGGGGGCTGTGAGCAGCGGGGGGGGCGTTGATCCATACGTGCCTGGCTCTAACGGGTTCTCCTCTCCCCCTCCCCACGCTGCTTCCCATGCTCGGACCCAGCACGTGAGTACCTGCTGTCTTCCCGCCCAGCTGCTGTGCGGGCAGGAGGAGCCGGGGGCACGGGGGCTTGCCAGGACACCAGGCGGAGGGGGCTGTGCTGGGCGAGGGCCTGAGCTCCGGCGGGATGGGGCATGTCGGAGGAGGGGTGGCGGCCAGAGCCCAAGCTGGTGCCTGCACTGCACTGGCAGCGGGGCACTGCGCTGGCAGTGGGGCACGGCATCGGCAGGCACTGCATTGGCAGCGTGGCACTGCGCTGGCAGTGGGGCATGGCATCGGCAGGCACTGCGCTGGCAGCGGGGCACTGCGCTGGCAGCGGGGCATGGCATCGGCAGGCACTGCACTGGCAGCGGGCACTGCACTGGCAGCGGGGCACAGCATCGGCAGGCACTGCACTGGCAGCGTGGCACTGCACTGGCAGTGTGGCACTGCATTGGCAGCGTGGCATGGCATCGGCAGGCACTGCATTGGCAGTGTGGCACTGTGCTGGCAGCGTGGCACTGCATGTGCGGGGCATGAAGGGTTAACTGGAAGTGGGTCCTGGAGCTCTGCACTAACCCTGTGCTCTCTTCCCCCCCCCCAAGCAGGGCGTGAGTATGCAGGTGCCCGGGGACGGACAGACGGACGGACCTCGCAGCAGGCTCCTCAGGACAGATTAGGCAGTGGGCACTGGTGCCCGGGGGCGGGTGATTGTTGCTGGAGCAGGACTGGATGCTGGGGGGTCTCACTGGGAAGGGTGGGGGCGGGGAGATCACTGGGGGCTGTGCTGTGGAAGGGGGCGTTTTTCAGGGCCGGGGGGCCGCTCTGAGGGGGTGATGCCCACGTCCCCCGGGTGGGGAGATTGCTGGGGGGGGGGAGTCTCCTGGGCAGCCCCATTTCCTTCCTCCAGGGCTGGGCCGGGGGTCTGACGCCACCGGTCCCTCGCGTCCTGATGCCTCCGTGTCCCCCCAGGGCTACACCCCGCTGCACATCGCTGCTCTGCATGGACACCGTCAGCTCATGGACCTGCTCGTCCGCAGCTACGGTGAGCAGCCCCCGCCCCAGGGACCTGCCCCCCGGCCTGCCCCCTTCTCATGACACTGCGGGCACGGGAAAGCGCTGGCAAGGGGGGTGGGCGGGGCTGAAGCCAAGGGCCCCCCCGCTGGGTGACCCGTGTTGGGGAGGGGGTCACGGCCCAGGACTTGGAGCCCTCTTGGTGCATTCTCCATCCTGGGGCCAGGCCGCCGGGGAGGGCGGTGCCCGCCGGGGGGGGGCTGAACCGTGTGTCCCGGCAGGTGCCAAGCAGAACGTGCGGGATCACAGTGGGCACCTGGCCAGACACTACCTGGAAGCAGAGAAGCCGCTGGACAGAGCCGCCACGCTGCCCCGTGAGAAATGCCCCTTGTCTGTCTGTCTGTCCACCCTTCGGGGGCCCCCTCTCCCTGCGGGTCCATGGACGGGGGCCGCAAGCAGCGTGTGCATGGAGGGAGGGGCACACAAGCGAGGGCGGGGCTTAGCCTGGCTGCCTGCGGGGAGGGGCCGTGCAAAGGGCTGGGCACTCCCTGCTCGGTGCCACCATGTGCACCCGTTGAGCTCAGCTGTGCCCCAGGGCAGGGGACAGGACAGGGGCTGCCAGGGTGTGTGTGTGGAGGGGGCTGGGGGTTGTAGCCCTGCTGGGAGGGGGCCGTGTCTCCTGCCCTGACCCTGCCCTGCCCTCTCTCCCCCAGAGCTGCCAGCGGTGCGTGGCAGGAACAGGGCGCTGGCCTGTCTGCTCTTGCCCAAGGCCAGCGGCCAGGCCCGGAAGCGCTGGGGCTCTGCCGAGGACCTGACGGAGGAGGAGGAGCGGGGACAGGCGCAGCACCTCGCCGTGCCAGCCTCGTACCGCGCCGTGCGCAAGTTCTCCCGCTAGTGGGGCCGGGTCCCGGCCCCTGCCAGCCCGGCCCTAGTGCCACCCGCTGCCGGGGGCTCAGGCTGCCCCGAGGGCAGTGGATGGGCCCTGCTAGCGTCTGCCCGGCCGGAGCAGGGGCAAGAGGCGCCGTGTTTCCCAATGTTCATACTAACACAGCTCCATCCCCCCCATCCGGATGCCCCTCAGTCCTGACCCGCAGCCCCTGCTGTCCCGCCCTGGTGATTCCCGTCTCCACCGACACGGCGCTCGCTCGGTTACTGCCGGGTCTGCCAGCGCCAGGCGCCTCGCCCAGCCCGGGAGCACCACGCCCCTGCAGCTCTGCTGTTTTCTAATGGATCCTGACGCTGAAATAAATCACTACGTGCAGCTGTGGGTCCACGTCTGTGTCAGCCCTGGCCGGGGGGGCAGAGTCTGGAAGGGCCCTCGGGGTCAGGGGCCCCTCCCGCCGGGGCCTGAGTGAACGGCGGGGCTGAGGGCAGCGGGATTCCTGCGACCAGAGCCCTTGGGGGCAGGGCAAGTGGCCCCAGGGTGCGATGCTGACGTGCACACGCCCATACCCACCACCTCGCCCTGCTGCTGGGGTCTCCCCTGGCACCGCCGAGCAGCTGCTGCTGTTTGGAATCTGTTTCCCAGGCCCCCCTGCCCTGCCCCTGCCCTCCAGGGCTCATCTGCCCCCTCCCTGCAGCCCAGCTGGGGCTAAGCCCAGCTCAGCTGCGCCCCCCTGCCTGGGGAGGTCGTGGCTCAGAGCGGTTCTGCCCAGGGCTCAGTGATGGGTCCTTCCACCTGGGCCCCTCTTGCCGCCCGCAGCTGGGCTCAGCGCAGCCAGATAGCCCAGGGCGCTGCCCTGAGGATCCCCAGAGCTATGGCTGCAGCAGGGGTGGGGGGCCAGGCAGCAAGGTGGGTTCTCTCCCCTGCCCCCACAGCAGCCCTGGCTCCAGCCCCCGCCCCCCCCACTGGGCAGGGCCCAGGCAGCTGCGGGGCCTCCCTTCCTGGGGGGGCCCGCTGGGCTGTAGGCCACAGGCGGCCTGACTCCTTTCACCGCAGGCCCCCCCGGAGCGCCAGTGCCAATACCAACGGCTCCTCCAGCCTCGCCCCAGCCCTGGGCTAAGGCGTGTGCCACCCCAGCGCTGCCTCCCCAGGCCCACCACTGCTGCCCTCCGGTCACCCCCATGGGCCCCAGCGTGGGCCATGAGGCCAAGCCCATCCCCCCTCCAGCCCAATGGGGGCTGGCCTGGGGGGCTGGGGACGGTTATGCCCCATGTCTTGGTGCAGCAGAATCCCACCGTGCCAGCCGGGCACTATCGCCATACGCACGGGGCTCCTCTGGCCTGGCGCCACGTGTCACCCCCGGGATAGCCGACACGGGAGCGTGGTCGTGGCATGACTGTGGCATGTTGGACGCGCAGGGAACCAGCCGTGCTGGGGGATTTACCACCCAGACAATCTGGGCGGGCGCTTTAACGGGAGCTGGCACCAGACTGCTCGTCCTTGCTAAGCAGCTGTCAATCACCCTACTGGCCCCACACGGACCCTCCCCCCCAGCCCCCTATAAAGCTCCGTGCTCTGGGCTCCCTCCCACTGGTCCCAGCAGCATGGCAGCAGCACAGCTGGTGTGGGGGGAGGCTCAGGCTGGCAACAAGCCAGGGGGCCCCAGAGGGATGTGGGGGGCCCCAGGGCTGCCGCCTCCCCCTCACCACGCTGTCCTGCAGCTGCCCTGCGCCTACCCGGCACCACAGGACACCAACCTGCTGCCACCGCACCTGAGTCTCCTTGCACAGCCAGTAAGTGACGGGCCGCCAGGCCTGGGGTGTTGGGGAGGGGCAGGGGGCTGTCGCCACCCTTCGGGGGGTGCCCTGCACGTGGCCCCCACCCCAGTGGGAAAAGCGGGGGGCGGGCAGTTCGCTGCACCCATTGTGGCTGGGAGGAGGGCAGGTGCCGAGCACCCACTGGCAAAGCGTCTGCCACCCTGAGCTCAAACGGGAGAGGAGGCTAGTGGGTGGCTCAGGGGCAGGGAACCAGGATTCCTGGGGGGTCTAGTCCTGGCACTGGGGGGGCATTGCAGGCGAGTGGTTACAGCCGGGCATCACTGCCCACTCTGCTACTCACGCCTTGGTCCCCTGCCGCCAGGTGTACACACGCTGCCCCAGAGACTGGGACTTGCCTGCCTCCCTTCCCTGTGGGGTAGCAGCTCTCCCTGTTGTGGGGGGGGTAGCTGGCTGTAGGGGCCCGCTGAGCCACCCCCCCCCCCCCCCACCGAACAATAGTTCCCAGGAGCTGTGGTCCTGCCCTGCCCATTGGCTCCGGTGGGGGCCACAGCGCTATCCACAGGAGCAGGGGTGGGTGCTGGGAGCCCCCTCCAGCAAACCCCAGGGGCCTGCCTGTGGCTTTCAGTACTCTGGCTTGGGGGGCAGAGCTGGGCCTGCCCCACAGACTGTCTGTCCCCAGGATCAGCTCAGTGGGTCAGGGCTCTGATCTGGCAGGGCTGGGACGGTCCCATGTCGTTCCCCCACCACCACCAGCACCGCTGGAGCAGGCCCAGCAGAGCAGTGGGCTAGCCTGGGGGTGTATCCATAGAGCCCAGCCTGCCCCCAGGACAGAGCCTAGGGGGCAGGGGGGCCACTGAGGGGCACTTCCCAGTGTGCTCAGCACAAGAGTGGAGAGGAACTGGGAGCCCCGGCAGGATATGGGGGAAGGACACTAGATTGCCCGGAGCAAAGGCCCCGCTCTCCCCTTGGGGAGCAGATACCAACAAATGTGCCAGTCCCATGTGGCTGAACACGGGGCGCTGCTCTGGGGCAGGGCTGGGAGCTCATGGCTTGGGCAATCCACCAGCAAGCCCCTTCCCTGCCCACGCCTCGGCAGGGCCCTGCAGCCACCTCTGCACCGAGGGCTTCACCGCCCTGTCCTGTGCCTTCCAGGTGACGGCTGCTTACAACCTCCAGCCCCTGCTCCTGCCCGGCCCTGTGCTGTGCGCCCCCTGCTTCGGCCAGGGCCTGCCCGCGGAGCTGTCCCGAGCCAGGGCGGCCACCTCCCGGGAGAGCACCAGCGCCCTGAAGGCCTGGCTGGGCCAGCACTTGAGGAACCCCTACCCCAGCAAGGGCGAGAAGGTCATGCTGGCCATCATCAGCAAGATGAGCCTCCCCCAGGTCTCCACGTGGTTCGCCAACGCCCGCCGGCGCCTCAGGAAGGAGAAGCGTCTGCGTTGGGCCCCCCGCAGCAAGTGGGACAGAGATGCCAGCGAGGGCGAGGCGGAGTGCGAGCAACAGCCCGGGGCGCAGGGCGAGGGGCCAGGTGGCAGCCCCAAGTGGGTCAGCCCCGGCCCCTGTCTGGAGTCAGAGCACCAGCAGCCAAGCCCCAAGCCCAACGCTGCTGGGCTGACACCGGAGACGCAGCCCCAGCAGCCCAAGCACTGGTGTCTGGCTGAGACCGCGACATGCCCCCGGCAGGAGCAGAGCTGCCGCCTGCGGCTGGAGATGGCACCGCCTGGCTGGGGCCCTGGGGGAGCCACGTACGTCTTACCCCCACAGCTCAGCCTGGCTCTTCCCTGGTGCACCGAGAGCCACCGGACGCACCCACTGTGACGGCAGAGCCCGGGCAGCAACCGGCCTGGGACTCACAGCGGGGGGGGGCAGGGGCCTCTGCCCACGGGGACCCAGGCTGTGGACAGGCCCTCCCAGGTGTTCAGCGGTGCAAGAGGCAGGGGGGGGCTGTAGATTTGGGGGAGGCTCTAGAGTAAAGAGTGAGTCTGTGGGGCGACGAGGGCCTGGGGGGGGCTGGTTCCTTGCGTGGCTCCCAGAAGCCAGTAAAATATCTCAGGGGAGGGGGAGCCAGGAGGGGGGCTGGAGGTTGGGGAGGGGGGAGGCCAGAGGGCTAGAGCCTGCGGCTCAGGGGATGGTGGGGGAGGCCAGGCAGAGTGGGTTTGAATGGGGCCCAGGCCCCAGCCTGGGCGAGGTTGCTCCCATTGGGCTGTTGCCAGGGCTCTCACCAGCCCCACAGGATGGCAAGTGACAGGGCCAAGGGGGGCAGTGGGGCTAGCCCCACGTGCTCAGGCCAGGAGCCTGCACTTCAGCCACACTGTCCCCAACCTGGTGCCCCCCAGCGCTCCCCTGGGGGGGCTCAGAGCCTAGCTGGGGGCCCGGGGGCGGTGCCCACACAGCCGGGGCACTTGGGCTTTGCCGTGTTCTGTCTAATAAAGCTGAATAAGCAACTCGATGTCACCAGCCTCTTCCTGGGCACGTGGTACCAGCCAGCGGGCTCCATCAGCCCCCCACCCCGACCTAGGGACCCTACTGCCAAGAGCTGGGGGCGGGTGACCCCCATCCGTGGCGTCAGGAGGGCTGCAGCCCCCAGTGGCTTGGCCTCCACTCCACTCCCAGCTCAGCTGGGGGCCTGAAGCCCCCCCAGGGGCTGCGACAGTTTGTAGCGTGGGGTGCTGCCACCACTGAACAAAATTGTAAACCCCGGGTGTGATGGCCCCATGTCCAGCCAGGGGGGTGCAGCACCCCCAGTTCCCGCACCGCTGCCCCCCCCCCACCGGCCTGTGGGGCTCAAACATCCATGGGGCAGGAAAAGCCTGTGGAACAGCCCGTCACAAGAGGCCTCCCAGCACCCAGGTGTCTTGGGCAATGGCTCCCCCCTAGTGGCCTTGGGGGTTACTCCATGGGGCGGGCTGGGGGCCGGCGTTGAGAGCGAGCAGGGGGTCGTTGCAGTTTCTCTGGCAGCGGAGAGCGCTGCCCCAGGGAGCTGTCCTAGCTGGGCTGATGGGAGCTGACCCCACAGGCCAGAGGCAGCGCCGGGGCCGCTCCATTCCGCGCTGCCACTGCCTGAGTTTTGGTCAGGTCTCCCCATGGGCTCCTGCCCCCAAAGTCAGGGGCTCCCTCTCCCAGAAACAGCTGCCTGCCACATGCAGCAATAGAGCTGTTCCACCACGCTCCCCTCTGCAGGCCCAGCCAGCCCCACTCCCCACAGACAGCCCCATGGGCAACCCCCAGCCAGCGGAGCGTCCCGGGGGCACTGAGAGCTCAGCAGCAGAGGGGCTGGAGGGACCTGGAGAGGCTGGGCTGGGGCAGGTTTCAGGCTTGTGTGGCTTCAGTTCTCACTGGTGGCAAAGGGGAACTTAGCCTCAGGAGCAGCACGAGCTGGGGGGTGGAGCATGGAGACCCAGCGATGTAAACCCCCCCTCCCGCCCCCTCGCTGATGGGTGAGGGTTCCTGGCACACGGGGCTGTTCCTGGGCTGTAGGGTGGGAAGGACAGGCATCCTGCTCTGGGCAAACGCTTTGCACAGCCCTCCCTGTGACAGCCAGCACGAGTGCAAACATGGCCATGAGCCGGGCTCTCCAGGGCCCAGTTCTCCGGAGC